AAGATTATGCCATAATGTAAGTCAGCTGCGTGACTTTTGGGCAATCAGTCTATCTCAGCTCAACCTACATCATATGGTTGTTTTGAGGTTAAAATAGGATGAAATAGTATTATGTTTTTGCCACTTTTAATTACTTATAAAGCAATAAAGGCAGGATAAGTCAGATAAAGGTCCCAAAGCAAATTGAAAAAAAAATCATAAAACAAATTAAATTCTATAGGTTCACTTTAAGGTTTATAGCAGGGGTAGTCAACCTTGGCTCTTTTATGACTTGTGGACTTCAATTCCCAGAATTCCTGAGCCAGCTAAGCTAAGCTGGCTCAGGAATTCTGGGAGTTGAAGTCCACGAGTCATAAAAGAGCCAAGGTTGACTACCCCTGATTTATAGCATGAGGATCTCTCCTCATTTTGCAATGCATTAGTCTCATAGGTAGTGACTTATTGACTATGTTTCTCTATTCATATTTCTCTGTAGAAATTCAGTGTCCCCCTCCAGAAGTGAGGAAAGGCTACATTCAACCTAGCCGATCTCAATACATGTACAATGATGAAATTACGATATTCTGTCGTAGAAATAAATTTTTTAAAGTTATGAGACTCCCCCGCAAAATTTCTAAATGTACTGCTAATGGTTGGAACCCCCCTGCTCTGTGTGGAGGTAAGCAGTTTTTTTTTAGTTTCTTTGTATTTGGTTTCTTTCTAGTGCAGAAATTGCTTTATTGTTAATGAAGGATGAATTGCTTTATTGACAATGAGTGATTATTTATGAAATAATAATGGTGGAAGGAGATTAGTATACCAAGCAGTAGTAATGATAACATTTCTATGTTATTCTCATTCTAAACCAACCTTGCTTTCTGCAATTGTTCTAAGCCAAGGAAATCCTTAGGGATTCCATGATTTAAATAATTTTCCTTTCATTCAGAACAACAGAGAGGAAGTGTCTATGACTGTGGTAAGTGATGTATTTAAAAACAATGAGGATTGGGTTAGAGAGATTCAAATAGCTGCCCTCATTTCATTTTTTTCTGAATCCTGGCAGATTCCTCTCTTCTGGTGCTGAAGTGAGGAGAAACTCTAATTTATCCTCAGGGGGATATTCTCACTGATTTCAATGGCCACAGTGCAGCACGTTTGATCTGAATCAGCCTGAATTTTTCACTATAAAATTCTTGGGTTGCAATCAAAGACATTTTGTTTAGTGATGACTTGTCCAATTTACCCAATGGATTTCTGAGAAGGTCTACTCTGAGGAAATGTAAATTTGGATTCAGTCCAGTTTTCCTACTCATCTTAAACGTTATGCTTCTGGTCTCCTCTGCCTGCCAGAATTTAGATCCTAAAATATAAAACAAATCCTGATTAGTCTCAACATTTGTAAAACACTTAAACTTTTATTGTTATCAACAGTGATTTTGCAGAGGAAGAAAAGGAGGAAAGAATTGCTTACTAACAGAATGCTCTACAATCTATTCTAGAAAAAAATCTCCATTTTGGCCACTTGGTTTAATGTACAGCGATAATCATGTCGGATATTTCAGCCATATTACCCATGTGTGGAATCAATTTAATAATGTAAAATTATCTAGGGTGCAGTCTGCTACAGAGAAAGAGATATAAGAAATAGTTCTTTAAAATATAACTTGCAAGCTCACATTTTATTTTGTAGGCCTCAGACAATGAATGACAGCAGCCCATTTTAACCAGCATGTGGACGTCAGTAATCACGAATAATTTTCTTTAATAACCCTACATGAAGCTTCATTGTGTTTGTTCAATCCACGAACTCTGGATTGTCTGCAACTGTTGACTATGGATCTTGAAGATAAAAGTCTACTTTCTAAAAGCTGCATTTTAGTACTTATTATTATTGGTAAAATGGTAATGCAATTTTCAACAAATATATAGGCCATCTTTAACTATTATATGTGATATACATTTTTCAATAATGTAACAATGTATAAATTTTAGCCAAAACATTTGATTAATGAGAATTACCAATCATTAGCCCTTCTTAAATCAGTGACAATGGAAGATTGAAATTGATATTTTAGAATGAAGAAGTGTTAAGTTCATTAAATGAATAAAATTCATCTGCAAAAATGATTTTCATTTTTTATTTCCTAAAAATATGTAAATTCTCCCAGATATTAGCTAAGATGAATAGATGTTCTGATCCTGATTGAGTTCAATGGTTTCATCATGGCGTATGCCTAAATAGCTCTTTCACAACACTTTTATTCACAGGGAACATTCACTGTCATGTGTGATGATCTAAATTTATATAAAGATAAAGGTTTCCCTGTCAATCATGTCTGACTCATGAGTACATCCATATATACATGCCTGAAGATGGCGGGCGGCTCCGGGTAGCTCCGTAGCAGCGGAGCTCGAAAAGACAGCAGAGGGGCGATTTAGAGGTCCCCGGAGGTCCGGAGACCCTTCCCTGGGTGACTCTCTCTCCCGGGATCGGGACTCGGTGCACGAGGAGACGCGGGGACGCGGGGACTCCATGTTGACCGGGTATGTGTCTGGCTGGCCTTCCCGGTCTTTCCCGGCCGTGGCGGCCCCTTCGGCGGCCTCCTCGGCCCCTTCGATGGCCCGTTCGGCCCCGGCGGTTCTCTTTGGTGGCTCCGGTGGCCCTCCCCAACGGCCTCCCCAACGGCCCTTCCCGATGGCTCCAGCGGCCCCCTCCAGCGGCCCTCGCCGGCGGCCCCAGCGGTCCTCCTCGGTGGCTCCGGTGGCTCCGGTGGCCCTCCCCAACGGCCTCCCCAACGGCCCTTCCCGATGGCTCCAG